GTCTTCTTGATAAAGCATTCTCAAAGCCCATTCCTGGGCATATACCCTTGACTCCTCCTAGGATGTGCCAGTTAATTCCTGTAGTTCGTACAGGGTGTCTTCTCTTCCTTTCTTGACCAGACCGAATACTTCCTTGGTGGACTAATGCTGGAATTTTGCTCCAATTATTGTTCCGGAAAGCAGAGAGGAGACAGACGTGCTTTTCAGCTCCTGTGAGGAGGTCCAATCTCCAAAACCTAGAGAGGCAGTTCTATTCTAATTTTTTTTTTTTTTCCAGATGAGCACGCGAATGCAGTCCCCCACTACCACAAATTATGCAGTCGCGTTTCCCACATTTGGGGAGATGGCAGGGGTCAGCACATCCCGAGTGCAATGGATAAGCCTCGCCCTGGGAAAACCGCCTTCGTGATCGTGGTGTCTCCCCTGCCAGGTGAGTATGAGGCAGTTCGATTCTGTGCTCAAGGGTCTCTCCCAGTCGGAGTTGAGCCAATGGCAGTGAGTTCGGTCTTTGAGTAACCAGGAGAGGAAGCCGTGTGGATCCTGAAAGGATCACCTGTTATCCAGCAGGGAACTGTTTCTAAACTATCTTCCTGTGTTCAGAAAGTGCCAGTTCTTTTTAATAATCATTTTATTAGGGGCTCATACACATCTTCACAATCCGTACAGACATCATTTGTGTGCGGCACATTAGTACATATGTTGCCATCATCATTCTCACAACAGCCACTTTCTCCTTGAGCCCTTGGTGTCAGCTCCTCATTTTCCCCCTCCCTCCCCACTCCCCCCTCCTCCTTGATAATTTATAAATTAGTATTATTTTATCATACCTTACAACATCTGACGTCTCCCTCACCCACTCCTCCGCTGTCTGTCCCCCAGGGAGGAGGTTATATGTAGACCTTGTCACCTGTTCCCCCTTTCTCCCTCACCTTCCCTCCACCCTCCCGCTATCGCCACTCATACCACTGGTCCTGGAGGGTTCATCTGTCCTGGATTCCCTGTGTTTCCAGTTTTTAATCTGTGTCAATGTACATCTTCCGGTCCAGCCAGATATGTAAGGTAGAATTGGGATCATGATAGTGGGGGGAAGGACGCATTTAAGAACTAGAGGAAAATTGTATATTTCATTGTTGTTACACTGCACTCTGATTGGCTTATCTCCACCCTGCAGCCCTTCTGCAAGGGGATGTCCAATTTCCCACAGATGGACCCTGGGTCCCCACTCTGCACTCCCCCTCATTCAAAATGCTATGATTATTTTTTTTTTTTTTAGTCTTTGATGCCCGATACCTGATCCCTTTGACGCCTTGTCATCTTACTGGCTGGTGTGCGTCTTCCATGTGGGATTTGTTGTTTCTCAGTTAGATGGCCCCTTGTTTATCTTCCAGCCTGTGGGACCCTAGATTCTATATATTTTGACAGCTGGGCACCATCAGCTTTCTTCACCGCATGTGCTACTTTTTAAGAGAGAGATTGTGAGCCACCTCTGCAGACGTTTAGTGTCTAGGGAAGTCTGCAAACCCTCCATTCTTGAAGTGACCCACGCAACTGTCCATATTCTGCTTCAGAGGCCCAGATTTTCCCAATCAGGACCTTTACTTGAATCTGATAGACATGCCCGGGCTGGGAAATCTGATCATCCATGGAGATTTGCAAATCCATCTCTTCAGTTCTACATTTGCTCCTCATCTATGTCTGCTTTCTGACTGCAGGAGCTGAAGCCCTTTGTGCCCCCTTGTTATTATCCTTAGTTTCTCATCGCTTTGCAAGGCAGCTTGTACACTGTTCCTCTTGTGGCCTTGCATCGCCTGAATTGGTAAGAGCTTCCCTCCATGGAGGAGTTTCTGCAGCTAACTACCAGCGAAATCCTTAGGATTTGTGTGACCACATTGGGCCAGGTGCTCACTGTACCCCAGAGAGCATTCAGGATGGGTTTCTCCTTGAGAGCCAGGTAGCGAGTGGGGTATTCCTAGAATCCCATCGACGATGTGTTTATTGTATTATTTTGGGTCTCAACAGGGTCGTCAGCTCAAGCCATCTGGGGAACAGATGCCAAGTTGTGAGTAGAAGAGCAAAATAATTATTGGTGGAAATGCCCAAGAAAGATAACGTGAAGAAGGAGTGGCGAGGAGGAACCTTCTCTCCATGATGAGGTGTTGATAGGGACCTCCTGAAAGACTGTGAAAGGTCTGGGAGAAACAAGAACGTTTCGAAGTAAGAGTCTCAGACCGCAAAATAGGTCTGATCAAGTCTCAGCCAAACCTCTGGGGAGCTCTAGAAGGAAGACTGCTTTTTGGAGGAATCCTGCATTGGGCAAGCGTGTCCATGCCTAGTACCTCTGTACTCCGGCATGGGCTAGGTGCATCCTAGGGACAGTGTGACCCCAAGGGAAGCCAATTTATGGCAAAAAAAAGTGCTTTTAATATACATGAAATTGAGTGTCCTCGGCGTTGTTTGCTAAATCCTGCAACACTGCAATAACGACAGAGTTGTGCATAATCACATGGCCACTCATTGATCTAGGCTAATATGGCGATTGTCCTTGCTAGCAACAGAGCCTAAAGCTGAGTCCTTGACATAACCCTGTTCCTTAAGTAAACGTGGGGGCAAATGGACTCCACTGGGTGTCTTCAAAACTCGATGGAGCAAGATTTCTCCTGATTGTGATCCACACAAATTCTCCACATGGATTTGTTTTTCCTCCCTGGAGCACCCCAGCAAGCCCTGCTCTTTGAGACCATACTGGGTCTCATGTTATGCACTGGGGACCATCAAGAATAAGTTTGACATCCAGCTGATCCAGTTAGGTACTGCTTGGAAATTCCAAACATGTGTACAAGTGGTAGCCTGAGAAGCATGGTATTAAGAGAGTCCGAGGGTGAAGGTTTCTGTCATGACACCTGGTGAGCTACCGAGATCAGCTACCCAAGGGTGGGGAACATGTGAAGTAGGTAATACCGGATGGAGATGATCAGGCTCAGTGAGGGCTTTCAGACCAGCTGCAGTGGCGGGGGTTATAGTTTGGTTCCCCATGGCTCTTCTTTTAAACTATCCTTCAGAAAATAAACCCAATGGAACCATGGTGGAATTAGTCCAGAATTCATCCTCTGAGGCAAATGAGCATGAGCGAGGTGAGGAATGAACTGTCATGGATGCTGTGCTGAGGTCTTTGCCCTCCCCTGTCCCTGAGCCACAGAGGCTCTTGTTCTCTAGCTGCTAAGATTGTTGTAGGCTTTCAGGCTCCACCGGAACCCCTTTTCAGACAGTGCCTATTCCTGCAGACACTCTTCTTGCTCAACGTCATGTCCTTTGGAAGGTCATGCTCACAACCAATGAGTGACCAGTGCTGGTATTGAAAGGCCTAGCCCCCTTGCCTAATTCCTGACAACTCAGCAGAACTACAGGTCTACAGCTGGGACCACAATGGGACTGACATCACATCCCAATTTCTCCTCTACCCAATGCTGCTTCCTTCATTTCCCCCAAAGATGGTGGCCTTCCAAGTATGCTCTACTCAACTCGCTGTCTGAGAGTGAGCTGCCTACATAAACTGAGCAGGGACAGTGGGTTTTTTGCTGTATACATGTGCTTTTGCTTTTGTTTTTATTAGTATTTCTTACTATGAACCCAGTTTTCCACCTTTCCCTTGACAGTTTTCGGCGTTTTAAATAATATTGAGAAGGACCGCCATCATTAATAGAAAATAAATATGTTATCTTTTACTCGCTTTCCCTGAAAAATGTTTTAAAATCTTTGTTTCAATAACAATTTCAATATGACCAGAGGGGTAGGAAATGAGCTTTCTGTATGGTTTTTTTTTTCCTCAAATGATTCGTTCTTCCTGCACAATTACTTTTAAAAATTCCTCATTCCTCCTTTTCTTAGTATGATTTTTTTTCTTTTTCTGATTTCTAGATGTCAGTGTGTAACTCATTCTTTATCCCATTGTCCTTGGTAACTGAGAGCCCTCAGTTATGATTTTTTTCCCTTCAAGTACAGTGTTGGCTGCCTCCCATGAGTTTTTGTTTACTATATGGTGTTCTCTTCATCGATTTTATTTTTTTAGGTATCATGCATACAATTGTAGTTTTGATTCACTTGAAAGAACAGTTTGTGTATGCTTTTAAAGCCTTGTAAATGGCAAGAGTTCTTGTTATTTGTTCCTAGCTTTATTGCCGTGTGATTAAGGAGTGGTTTGTACCATCTATATAGAATGTTTAATATGCTTCTAATGTAAGGGAAAGTGAGCATCTATTTTCTATTGTCCAAATTATCTGTCATTACTGTAGTTGGGCCCTCAGAAAATAAATACTAAAGGCATATCGGTCTCTTAGAAGTAAAGTTTGAAGATCATTCTGCCACCTTTAGAGTGGTCCTATTGGCTGATCAGTCTCCTTTTGTCTCTCCCTGGGTCTTGAGATTGTTTCTGAGGTCCCATAGCATTGAATGTGTCATGGGCAGTCAGGGTCAACACTTCCCCAAAACACTTTAGAGTTTTATTTTGAAAGGTGGCTTAGCCAAGGTCTCCAGGCATGCTCCAAGACAGGGTATTCAAATTCCTGAAGTTGGGTCCCACTGCACTACGGTGTGTGACAGTGGACAATATTATTTTCCTATTTGTGTTTCAGCATCTTTACATGGAGGGAAGAGGGAAGCAAAGCTCTGCTTGTCTGGTGGCTTCCAGGACCTGTCTAAAGTTGACGAGGTAGGGACCACAATGAGGGACAGAACAAAAGGGACATGGAAGGAAGCAGTGTCATAGGAGCAAGTCAGGAAAGCTGGGGCAGGCACCACTCTCCCTCTCAAATTCCTACGATGCGAGAGAAAGGTGCAAAGTTCATGCTGGGTAAGTCTGTCTGCAGGTCATGGATGGAGGAGAACAGATAAACCTTTAGGTCATTGACTTAAGACTTAAAACCTGAGCTGAGAACAAGTTTGGATGCCCCCAAAAACCAGAAACACCTTCCGTACTTTGCTGATACGTTTATTAATATATTTAATGTTTCCCCTTATAGCTGATGGTGATAGAAGCAGATGGATCCCACCCTTGCCCTCCCAACCCCAATAAAGTACAGACACAGATTTTATTTAGCATGTACAAGCATTGGGGCATGTGTCCAAATTCATCTCACTGGGTTACCAGAGCCAGGAGAGGTTTGTGGGCAGAGTGAGCCTGGCGGGCCCAAGAATTGAATAGGCCAATGCTGAGGACAGGCTGCTCTTCAAGGCTCTGTCACCTGAGTGGCAGCCGAGGTGAGAGCGTCGATCATACTGAACAGAGCTGCCTGGACCTGGTATAGGAGACAGGGGGGCTAAGAGCCATCATCCCATAGACATCTGTGCCTCTGGGTTCTCATCTGCAAAATGGGGATACAAAACCGGCCCTGACTGTACTACAAGGCTGTGCTAAATCTCCAAAATAGAACTATTTTGTGAAAAGTGCTTTGCAAAAGATAAAGTGCCATATGTATTTTGGGGAGTTCCCTTGCTTGATTGTGGTTGTGCGATTGCCCCAGGGTGAAAGGTAGACCAATTGATTCATGGATCCAGGGGTCAAGGACGTGACAGAACTTCGTCACTGTGCCTTAGATGGGCACAATCCATGTCAGGCAAGGCTCCCTTAGTTCCTTGGCCCCAGGAAATCACCAAGGCCCAGGAGAGTCACTGGGGAAGTTACAGAGAGGGTCACAAGGGTCAAGGGGAGGAAGAACCTGGCACGCAAGGTAGGGACCATTACAATCATCACACACACAATAGATACCCATTGAATGCAGGGCATTGGATTGGTAGTGCAGATGAAAGATGGATGCGCAGTGTGGGGAGAGGGAGGAATCACAGCAGCAGAGGGAGACATCCTGTCCCAAAGAGACTTCCTCTTCCTAAAGGACTAAGGCCACTGTCTGTCTATCTGCAGGAGAAGAGAAGGGGAGCAGGGAGACGGGATCGATGCACTTGGAGGTTGATGCTCCAGGGCACCGCAAAGGCAGTGGTAGGTTTCTCGAGAAGGCAGTGGGTGCTAACATTCTTTGGAAAGAGCTAATCAACGTACAGATGTTCAGAATTATCAGGTGGTGGTCACCGACAAGCCTAAGCATCACAAACGCCACCTGAAGAATGCAAGTGGGCCATCTGACTTGAACTGGACTGTCATGGAAATTCAGGGCATGGGCCAAGTGGGCAAAGGGCCACCAATGACAAATCCTCTGTAGGTCTGCATTTGAGGAAAGAGGATGGAAAGCAACTGTCTAGATGCTCCGGCTGCTGCTGCAGCTTTCCCCCAACTCCCTTGGCAGGGGGCTTAGGACCTCCCGGGGAACTGAAGGCGGCCCAGCCCCGCAGGGCACCAGCTGGCACCTAGGAGTAAATGCAAACAAGCCAATAGAGCACGTTGAAGAAGAAGAAGGCCAGCGGGAACACGACCCGGGAGTAGTCATCCAGGCGGTCAATGTGGATGCAGAGGTGGCCCTGCTGCCAGGTGCTACCCTCGCAGTTGGCGATCACGCAGAAGTACTTCTTGAAACCCTGGCGCCACATGCTGCAGAGGAACTGCGGGGGCGGGGCGCTCCCCACGTCGGCGGGCTGGTCCTCCTGCTCGTCATCGTCATCACCATCACTATCTCCCATGTTGACCACGGTGCAGACAAACGTTTCCGGAAGCTGTCGCGCACGCAGCCGGGCTGGGACACTGGCTTCCGCACGTCCGCGGCCACGGCGACGGTACTGAGATGGGCAGGGGAAAGAAGTGAGCAAAGGGCAAGGGAAGGGGACCCAAGGTTGGGGGCTGCCTGATGCCCACCTCAGCATTGTTCCGAGGCCCCCAGAGTCCCAGGAAATCGACTCACCCCACCCCCACCTCCACGCCCCAACACCACTACCATCAGTGCCCCCCTGTCACTCAGTCAAAGGGAACATCCCACTGTCTAAGCCCTCAAGGGTACGCCTCCAACTTTCAAGCCCGTACCCCCAGTCGCTCAGACCTGACTAAGTTTTGGAGAAGGATGGGCTTTCATCTGGGTGTAGGTCAGGAAGTTGAGCATGGCAAACTCCGTCAGCGCACAGAAGCAGAAGACAAAGCAGGTGGTGATATAGCAGTCCAAGGCTGTGATATAGGAGACCCGCGGGAAGTTCTTCCGGGAAAAGGTGCTCAGCGTGGTCATGGTAAGCACAGAAGTGACCCCTGCAAGGGCACAGAGATGAACGTGGGCTTAGCGCCAGAGCCAGGGATTGCATTGCTGAGAAAACGTCATTCCTGACCTTGGCAAACTACAGGCACACACACGCCTGACTCCCTTACCTAGCGATGTTCTAGCCGATGCCGCGTCTTTCTTGATCCAAAAGGAAACCCAGGAGAGCATAGTGGTCACAGAAGAAGGGACATAGTGTTGAATGGCAACATAGCCAAATCGCCTGCTGATGTTGAAGAAAGACGTCAAGACGACGAAATCCCCTGGAAGACATGAAAAATGGCACTTGATATGACATTGACACAAGATTCCCCACCCCCCACCCCAACAGTATAAGGGTGTTATTATTTGGCTTATTATTCTCATCACACTCCGAAAATGGAGGTGCGTTGTTTCCATCCAACAGACAGAAGGTCAGAAGAAACAGAGAGAATCTGAGAGGGGGCCCTGAGACTGGCAGACTTATTGTCAGTTCACAGCTGGGGCTCGGACTATAATCTCCCCTTTGTCAGTTCACTGTTCTTGCCCCTACACCTGTCTTTCCAAAGTGGTAGCAAAATCAGATACAAGTGAAAGCATCAGTTAACCCTCTAGACTTCAGGACTAAACAGCGGATGTCCAGGTGGTTGACAAAGGCTTTCGCATCTTTTGGGACAGCATGTCTAATCCGTAGACCTGTACCTTACAATGTATGGACTTAACTAGCCAAAGATGGACTGTGCTGAGGTGGAAGGAGCAAAAAAAAATCCTTCAACCCTTTCCCACATCCATACACTGGTGAAATGCTTTGGTTAGCACTGGTCTGGCAATGGCCAAAGAAGTCACTCTGGATGACTCCCCGCTCCACATGGGTGACAGAATCTAGTCTAGAGTGATCTGACTCTCAAGACTCATCATGATCTAGCTCCAATGGACATAACCTAAACACACACCCCTATACCCACCCACCCCCACACAGAGAGAAAACACAGCAACTGTACCCTGAACTCAAAGTCCCTGAGAAAGCCTGCATATTGATGCCAATATTCAAACTCTAGGTTCCCTGTTCTGACTCAAATTGTGTGTTTCCAGCAAATGGAAGAATGAGATGAAAGTGAAAATTGCTGCCAGCCCTCAAGATGTCAGGTCTAAGGGTGCATCCACAAGGCAGACCGAGGCCTTCACATTTATGTGGGTATCATATCCTTGGTCTTGATGCTCATCCTAGACACCAAAGGGTTTTTAGAGGACCTGGTGACAACTTAGAGCTCCAGTTGGCATCTTCTACTTTACCCTCTGGGCTGCCTGACACTTTGCCCCATCCATCTCCAAACACTCGGTATTCTCATGATACCATGGTTTCTTGGCAGAGTTTTTAATATTTTCTGGTGCAAGAAGATTTAGGATCCCATTGACTTGTTCTCTTTTTATTTGTTATTGCCAAAGAAGAAACTTCTCCACGTTTTCAATAGAAGCAGTCTTCGTGGGCTGGGAAAAGGATGCAAACATACACCTTCTTCTTCAGGAAGAGTAGAGGAACATGCATAAGGGAAGTAGGAAATCTGTGCTGAATATCCAAAGCAAAAAGATGCTGAAGATGCTTTCCACTCTTACCTGTTTGGGCTGGACCACAGGTGGCTCATGTTGTTCAAGTCTGTGCACTGCACTCTCAGAAGGACACAACATGACTGTGTCCAGAGGATTAGGCCTAGAATGATTAGCATTAGTATCTAGGATCCAAAGCCTTGAAGAACAAGAGAAGGGGTTAGGCTGTGCAGCCTGTAACAGAGTATGACCCAGGGCTGGAATGGTCACATTGGTCCTTCAATCTTGGCCCTTTGGAAGCATGACTAGATGTAATTTAAGCTGGGTACTTCAAGAGAAAAAAAAACAAAACCTAGGTCCAATGGGTGAACGTTTTAGGAAGACCAGTTTCAGATGAACGGGGAGATGGTTCATGATCTGTCTCGAGAGAGAATTCTCTTGTAAGATATTGAACCTTTGATTATTGGTAAAATTCCAATCGTGGCTCAACAGCCATCAGTAAAGGGAAAACTGTTCACTGGAGGCAGGAGTGGGTTCTTGAGAGGTTCCCACAGCAGAGACTCTCTGGCTCAAGAATAAGAGGGCCAAAGAAGCAAGTTGTCATGACATTCTGAACCCTTGGGGGCTGAGTCTGCTTCAGACAATAGCCCTGATTAGAGAATGGTCCCAAGGTCCACCTGGGAGAGTTTGAGACCAGGACCAAAGACCCCACAACACTGGAGAAACCGTGATTCCAGACCAATTACTCTCCAGCAGAAGATAACGAAGTCCTTTTCAAGAACCTTTCTTATTCCCAAGGGAGATTGGTGCTTACCTACTGGAATGGCTTGGGGGATGATGCCGGCTCTGGGGCTTTGTAGTCACTAGGGCACCATTTTGAAACAATGCACAACCATCTACTAAACGGAACCACTAGTGACTTGAAAGCCCCTGGGCCTTGTCTCCTCTGCTGCTTTTGATGGGGGTCCCAGTCTGGGGCAACTAAAATGCACAAAATGCATAAAAGCAAGAAGCAGGCCCATGGTTCGCTGACAGAAGAGCAAAGGTCCCAAGTCAAAGGTAGAAGAACTGCCACCCCAAGTCCCCCCGGTGGGTAGGGAGGGGGTGGAGTATTTGTAAAGCAACCCTCCACCCCTGCCTAGTACTGTGCCAGCAAAGCTCTAGCCAGATGAGTGTGATCTACCCCTACCCCGTAACCAATTCAATAAGTGCAGATTCAATAAGTGCAAATGCAGATTCCTGCTGAGCTGCAAGGAAGCAAAGCAAGATGCCTCCCATGGCAAATGGCTGTTTGAGTGACCGGGTTCCATCCATATTCGGGCAATGATGGGAGCAGTGCTTCCACTGCCCTGAACTTGATCAGTATATGTAAAAAGGGGTTCCAGGAATGCCCAGGGAGCAAACCTGCCTTGGCTCCTCATTCAGCTCACCTAGGAACACAACCAAAGACGCTCACACCTAATAGAGATCTGGAGCTTAAGAGACACAAGACCCTCCCCTTCAGCCAGAAACCAGCTGTTACCATATGTATGTTGACTAGGCCTGGAATTGTGCTTGTCAAGTGTCAGAACCTCTGAGCTGCTTCTTTAAGATAAATGGCAATGTGATGTAGCAGCCTTTGGAGTTCTGTCCCCCAGACACTGCCTTGAGACCAGAGGTTCCCAAACTTATTTGGCCTATAGCCCCCTTTTCAGGAAAAAACACCCCAAAATTACACAGTGCCCGGCCCCCAGTCATTAAAAATGTTTCTACGGTAGCCCACAATCCAGGATCAAGTGTAAGGTCTGCTTCTGTAGCCCCTCTTGATGTTTCTAGCCTACTCAAGGGGCAGTATCACTCTCTTTGAAAAATGCTTCTTTAGACTCTCCCAAGCTTCATTTCACTGACGTTAGAACACCATCTTCCTCTTCCCATTGGGACAGATTCTGTTTCTCCACTCAACCAACTCAGATTGATTCTGGAAATGGAGAACTCACATGAACTCCATTCCACAAAGTCATCTGAGTAGGTCCGTGTTCTAACAGCAACCTGGAAAGCAAAAGGTCTGCCCGAAAAAGCTAATTGCCATTTCTGCCAGAAACAAAGCTTTATCTACTTACCTACCCTTTTGAGGGATTGGCAAAGCACTTACTTCTTTGCAGATGAGACTGAGGCATGGTTATAAAGTCTCAGTTTCCTCTGCAAACAGTTGTAAGTGCTTTGCATTTATAAAATGGGAGCCAGGTCCTAGGGTAGTTTCCTGGAATGAAGGCAGAACCTTTGTGTGGAGAGCCCCAGCCATCTCTACCACCTTCAACCGGACCCTTGGCTTACATAGCATACTTACCAGCGGGGGTGGAGAGCATTTCCGTTTTGTTGCTCATCCCCTTAAAATCAAACTGAAAGAGCTTCCAGGAGTTGTCCTCATTCATGACAAGCTGAAAATCTGCCCACTTGTAGATCACCTCACTCGTAGGATAGGAAACTGGAAAGCAAGACAGGAAGAACATGTGAGCGCAGGAAGCCTCTCTGAGGGCTCTCCCGGCATGGAGGCAGCCTGAGCAAGGTCCTTGGAGTCCTGACGCTGGCCTTGCCAGCGGGGGGACTGTGCCTCTCTTACCTCATTGCAGAAGTCCTTTCAGGAAGAATATTTACTGAGCATCCCTCAGTACCATGCTCAGGGCTGGAAATACAGAAATTAGCAAGGCATGAGTGCAACCCTAAATCATTCACAGTTTTGTAGGGAAGAGAGTGAGTGTACAGCTAACAGCCTGGGCTAATTAGAGTTGCTCTGAGAAGCAGCTATTCGTGGGATACTGAGAACACAAGGGAGGAAGAGAGATCAGAAAAGAGTCTGTGGAGTAGTCTTGCAACTTGAGTCCATTTTTCCATATAGATGGGGCAGAAGGGGCAAGGGGTGTGTTCCAGATACAGAAATGTGAAATGTTAGTGTGTTGTAGAAATACCAGAAGTTCACAGGGGATCTGGTGTGCAGTAGTGGTAATAGGGGGTAGTGAAGGGCCTTGGGGGTCATTCTAAGGACATTCAAATGGTTTCATGAGAGTTCTGGAAGGATTTAAAACTAAGACGTGATCTGGTTCTATATGGCACTTCAACTAGGTCACCCTGGTCCTTCATAACATGAGGATATTCTGGTGTTGGACATACTAGTCCCAGGAGGCCAGTACACTAATCCAGGCAAAATAAAACAAATGAAGGCAGGCTTCAAAGCTGTGACAGACAGAATGCGGAGAAGTAGCCAGGCTCAACAGAGATTAAGAAGAGAATACCAGCAAGATGTGTTGATTGATAAGATGTGGGAGATGAGGGAAATGGAGGTTCTAAACTACTTGGCTGATACACATGGCAGATATGATGCTATTCAATAAGACCAATGGAAACACAGAAGGAAAAACACATTGGATTTGGAGATAAAGGCTGAGAGACGACAATGGGTTTACTCTAGGATATGTTCAGTTTCAAAGTGAAGATGTTACAAAAGTCAAAGGGGGAGATGGAAAGGCTTAGATCAAGGTAGTGATAATGGAAATGAAAATGAGCAGACACATTTGAGATGCACTTCAGAGTCAGTTGACTGATTTGCTGTGGAGAGGGAGGAGGAAGGAGAAACCCAATAGGATGCGGAGTTTGAGCAACATAGCAGGGAATGCGATGGGCGTTGAGGGGAAGGCAATCTCACCATCTTAGGAGGAAAGCAAAAGCAGAACATTGTAAAGGGAAAGATGAGGAAAAGAGGGGCCCAGCATGACTCGGAGACCCCAGAAACCTAAGGAGGTACTCACAGCTAGAGAAAGACAGAGGACAAGAGTGAGAATCCATTGGAAATCTTTGCATATTGAATGTACATCCAGCATCAATGGTCATCCTGGAAGGGAGAGAGGAGCCTCATTAGGCTGGCCCTGAGAATGTACTGTCCATGCGGTCTAGGCCTGGGGGCCACCACCAGTGAGTGGCGACAGTAGCTTTTAAGACAAAGAACTCCATAGAGACACATAAAGAGAAGAAGAGCGGTATGGAAGATTCTGGCTACTCTGGTCTCCATCATCAGAGAAGTGTATGAACTTAGAGGAACTCTCATTTCCTATCCAGCCTAACTCCCAGGTCCTACCAACACTCTACCACTTTCCACTGCCACCCCCACCAGACAACCTCCCCTTACCAGGCATCCAAATATCCAGACTGACCTTCAATACCTGTCAACTGCTGTGCTGGTGCTCTGCTTGGGAAATTCTACCACCGTGTGGATGGGTCTTAACACTCAGTTCCCTCAAGGGATGAAATTGTGTAGGCAATCCAGTCAAAATAGTATATTCTAGTGGAAAAAAACCCAATGGACTATAACATAGGCTTGGGACGTAGCCTCAAGCAGTGGCTTTCCATTTTAAAGCTGCAAGGTCTGCTTCTGTATAGCAGCGAGTTGGACTAATGGTCTAGAAAAGATGGAAGAGTCTTTAAAAGGATCATTTGAGATGAGACCTCTCTCTGTCCCTGGATTCCCAGAGGTGGGGGAGGGTCCCAGGAGGTGTCCCTCAGAGGCTTCACTTACCTAATTGTGTACAGCACTTTGCCATCCTTGTGGATGCGGACCATCTGGTTTGGCATGGTGATGGAGTGCTCCTGAGTCCTCTTAGATTTCCAAAAAAAGGTGTCTGGGATCCACAGCTGGCTCACCATGTTGCTCTGCAGAACAAGGGTCTTGATGCTGTCAGTGCTGTCATTGTAGCAGAGGCGTTCATCATACCAAGTCTGGTAGAAGATGATGTCAATGGTGTATTCCTGGTGGAAAAGAAAGAAAAGTGCGCACTTGGTGCTGTTGGGTCAAAGAACAGGCACGTACCAATAGTGTTTGCTACTCTCTAACATAGATTGAAAGGCAATGGTGTCGAGCACATAGAACACTGGACTAATTCTTTCCCCCCCCTGAAAAACTATTTTTTCTATTGGCAAGCCTCTTAAATCAGCATTACATTAATAGCAACTGGGAGTTAGTTAAGGAAATGCACTTTGAAGATTTCAATCATCCCTCCAGCCCACCGTCAAGTCTTCATCCAGGTAGACCTTCATGGCCAAACTGTTTTCCTTTCATCATCCCAATCACTTGGTGCCCTAATACAACTACAGGGGACTTCATAGTCAACTCTCGGTCTCCTCATAGGTGGTTCTTTTTGCCAAAGTGTGATTCATTTCTAAAGCTTCCAAGTGTCCAAAAACATCTCTTAGAACTTGGCACAACTACCCACTTGGAGCTATGTTTATTCCACATGATCAACGACAGATCTTGCAACAATTCCACAATTTAGATAGAAAATGTTGCCCGATTGAATGGCAAGATGCAATTGTGATCCACGAATATCTTATCACCATGTAGCAAATTGACAGACAGACCCAGGTAAGACTGAGACCTAGAGAGGGTCCTGTGGTCACATCACAGACAAGACTTCTGGAAGAACACAGGCAAATCAAGGAAGCTTGTATAAGAACCTCGAAGTTCAACGTCAGTCCAATGGGGAAAATGGAAGTTGGTGCTCTCAAAAGATCGTGTCAGGTCTGACTTTCTAGATCTGATCCTCAGAGCCATCCATGTCTGAGTATACAATTTGTGTCGCTGTAATGTGCTCTGGCCCAGTTTGTTTCTTACCAGGGAGAGGAAGCATGTCAGAAGAAGTAGGAGAATGACAGTACTTGATCACTAATCTGTAGACTATGTCCACCACCCACATGAACCAAGAGTCCTGGCCAGGCAGAAAGAGCGAACAGAAGTCAGTAGACATTGACCAAGATGACAGAAACGGAACGTGCCTTGCAAATGGTTTCAAGGGGGCATGAAAGGAAGAAGACACCTTAGATTTCTATGTTTTGTTTCTTTGTTTTTACTTTCCTCCCCCTGCAAAACTTCATCTACTTCAGATCAAAATTTGAAACAAATGTTAGTGAACTCTGGCTGGAGCAGGTCTCATCACCTACCATCCTCGTCTCCGTTGGTTAAGTGAAGGATGAGAAACAACTAGTAAATGCTTCCAACCTGCTCCCCGACCTCTATAGAAAGAAGGATGTGAGCGCAGCAAACCAAGTCTCTGGCATTGAAAGCCTTTTGCCGCTATTGGCCAAAGGTTCCCGCCAGCCTCCAGTGTGCCTAAGGGAGTTGAAAACCCCTTCAGAAGCCACTTTGGTTTGCAAAGAGGAAAATAACACGTCTGACTGTAGCCATTTTGTGTTTTCAGGGGTTCCCAAAAGACAAAGAGCATCCCCAGTGGAGAGCAGTCTGGGAAGGCCTGTTTCACCTAAAAACAGACAGAAGATGGTGGCTTAATAGCAAAAACTGCGCGTCTCGCCTCTCTGGTCCCGTGTGAGGCTCTGCTGTTACACAGGCCAGGTCAACACCCTCTCAACACCAGCCTTTCTCTAGCAAAGAAAAGATCCTAGCTCCCAATAATTCTTTAAATTGCAAACACCCATCGTTGGTTGCATACAGTGACATTTCCTCTTTCAGCTTTTATTTGGGGGGCACAGATGTTAATTAACCTCAATCTTTCAGTCTCCTGGAATTATATTAAAAAATAAAAGTGCTTTCAATCACAAGAAAAATAGAAAAATATCTATTTAGCTGCATGTTTTTAAAACAAGGAATGTCTTTTTTTGGAGTGGGGAGGGGGGCTTTGTTTTGATTTCCCTTTCAAACAAGAGCCCCTAACTTCTGCTTGTGTGGATCTATGCATGCATATGCACACACACATGCAGAGGAAAGCATGTGTTTCCTTACTAATCTGTAGTGTACAACTGCGCATGGGTTTCGCCATAAGATTATTGGGTCACCTGACATGGCTCCAGGCCAAACTTCGTGAGAGTAGCTACTCAATTGCTGGGAGTCCATCAAAGATGAGGAGATCAAGGCTGTGGCCAACAGCTCACCAAGTAAGCAGACAGAAGACGAGAAAGGCCAACAGAGCTCCCCATCCCTAGCAAGCCCCACCCACCTGCCCTCACAAATGATCCCAAGTGGCTGGCAGCTCCATCTTGGCTGGCCACTGGTTTGCTTGGTAGCCAGTGAAATGCCACTCCCCTCAGCAGCCATGCCAATCACGCCATGGAATACTGGGCACTCACAACCATGCTGAGGTTCCTCCAACTTCAACCTGAGTCCCAGCGGCAGCACTGCCCACTACACGGGATCAGAGAAGGGAGGCCTGCACATTGGCCAGTGTTGTAACTGCTTCAGCACACATACCCCCTCCTCTAAGCGCAACTCCACAGTGCCCAAGGGGGGGAAAAGCACCTCCTTTGCTCTTAAAAAACCCTACTGGGAGCACAGAGTTCTCAGGGAAAAGCAAGGCCAAATGTACATTTGAAATGTGCAAAAGGCTCTCAACCCCGGTTTGAGCACCACCTCATGGGGCAAAACGAATCAGGTTGGTGGCTCCCTTCGGGATTCATGTCGTGTCAGGCTTGAGGCCTGCTAGGCAATTAGACTGCATCTTTAGGGCTGGGCATGTACTCACACTTCCCAGAGCTTAAAGGGAAGCCAATGCTGTCAGAATTTGCATGCATGGAGAAAGGAGAGAGGGAACATTTGAATACTTCGAGTGAGGCTACTGGGCTGCTGCCATAAGAGGGCTTTAAAAATTAGCAAGATGAGAGCAATTGATTTCCCACTATCACGCCTTGCTCATATAGCAAGGTGATTGTAGCCCCCAATTTTCCACCACTCTTCACTTTTAAAGGATGCTCTATCTCATCCAGAAAACATCCATGCATCAATATTCTCCACTCTCAGCCTAAAGAAAACTTGGCCACCAACAGATGGGCAGAGGTGGACAGGTTAAGGAGGAAAGAGCAAATCAGTTGGGTGCAATTAAGACAGGCTACTTCCAACACACATTGACAACACCTGAGAAGCAAATTACTGCACACTGAACACTCTCGTTAGCTTTGAAAACCCCCATGGGAAGGATGAAGGCAGGGACGGCAGTAGTTCCCACTGGAGAGTCTCCTGCCTAGCCACTGTCCTCAGCCCCACACCAATTACCTGGATGTTCCCTTGCCCACTCAGACCAAGAAATGACCACGATGGTGGGGCCACAAGACCCGATGCTCTAACTCATGCTCTGGAATGCATTTACATGCGATTTTTAACATAACTGGTTGTTATGTTGCCCATCAAGAAGTGGTAAATTGCTAGGCAAAAGGAATTCACAATTCTACTCCTATTAGTCACATTGAAAGAAGCAACAAAGGGAGTTACAGGCCTACATGTGACCTCACAAGCCATCATAGCCATGTGTGGTGGCCCCTAGTGATCTTCACCCCCTGATGTTTATGCCCTTCTATAACCAGGCACCATGGAAGGGTCTCATTCTGCCACCCAGCCTATGCAAACAGCTTGATCTACTGTGAACATTTACTTACCTTTGAGTGTCTATTTGCAGGGCCTATCTCAGAGTCTAGGCTATGGATTGATTTAATTGCATGGCAAAATGGCCATTATGGACTTGGTCCATCATTGGTCAGACTTGGCAGATGCAAGTGACTTTCGGCAGAGAATCTTTCGTACAACATTAGCATAACTAACTTGTACTGAGTCCTTGACAGCAGGGGGACCATGGTTAAGAGAGCAAGACAGGCATACAACAGATCATTACAATAAAACAAGGAGGCCAGTTCAGGTAGACAGTCGTGATAGAAGGCAGAAAGGTTCGAGTGGCAAAGAAAAGGAGCGTGTTGTGAAGATGGGAACACTTCATAGCAGTGGAGGGCAGCAAAGATATCATGAGAAAGATATGTAATTTGAGCTTGACCCTGAAGGATAAGGATTTGAACAAGAGGAAATGCGGAGCCATGGCATCCCAATTGGGGATCCCAATAGCTTGAGGGTACCAATTGGTTTGGGAACATCCATTTTCTAGTTTGACTATAGTGCATGATCTCTCCAAAGACAACCCCATTGGCATCGAGTCAATTCTGACTCACAGTGACCCTACATTGGGTTTCTGAGTCTAAAATTCTTTAAGAGAACAGGTAGTCTTATCTTTCTCTCAAGCAGTGGTTGCTGAGTTTGAACTACTGACTTTGTGGTTAGCCGCCTAAAGGTAGATCCTAATTGCTAGAAAATAGGGCTTGAATGTCACACTCTAAGTAGAGTCCGTACTGCAGGAGTTAAAACACTTGGGAGGCCAGGTGAATAGGTAGTAGAACATGGGGGAAGGCTTTTGCATAGTCCATGTGGGAAATGATTACGGTTAATGGGCTAGTACTGACACTAAGGCAGTAGTAGTGGAAAGAAGGAGCCAGGGAACACATATCAATAATGACAGATGTAAGTCCATATGCAGCATTATCAGAAGAAAAGAGCCATTTCACTGTGGTGTTTAAATATGCTTTATTGTTTTTATTTCAGAAGGTCCTCTTCAGGTAGCAAGGGACTTACCTTTTCCAGTCTCACTCTCAAGCCATTGCTGGTTCAAATCTCTCCCTTGAATTCTTGGAGTGATTACTGACACAGAGAACACAAAACCCAAGGATGTGGAAAGCCCCTAGGTAAGCAACCTAGATAGGACATACTATAATCAAAGCCCAGTACTCACCATGTCCACGATGGAGACCGGACCGATGTTATTGACAGAGAACTCCACAGTGACCACAGTTGGCTTCCCTGTAAGGGAACAGAAGAGACAGAGGGTCAGTGTCAAACAGGGGTGTGAGGCAGGGGAGGGAGTGGTGAGAGGGGGAAGAAAGGGGAGTGAGGAAAGACACGGTGTGGGCATCCAATCCTATTTTTCCCATGGTTCTGTCATGGCAAGATGTCATTTACGCACTGCTAAGAGTTGGATGGATCTGCAAGGTCAACCAACTAGTCCATTATTGCCTTTTGTAGTTGGAAAACTGAGGGTGAGAGAAGAGTCTTGATCAAGGCTAATGGCAATGCTGAGGTCAACCTTAAGTTCTTACCTATCCAGTTGTTAGTACATGATGTTGTCCATGTGCATGGCACCCCCACCTACACCCAAAGGTCCATTTTCTACACCTAGACCCTGGACCCCCATTCCCTCCAAGAGAGGAAGATCTTTGATCAGCTACTTACCACCAATGCCAGGGCGCAGTCTGTAGTCATAGTTGCTCAGGATGGTGTTCAGGATGTGGGTGGCTTTTGAGATGCTGGTAGCTCTTCGGCCAGTAGCAGGGGGCTTTGTTCCTTCAGTGATTGGCTTTGTTTCAGGTTCCTGTGACTTGGGGCTGTGGGAGCCATCACTGTTTCCAGAAACTCCTTTCTCTGACTTAACCTGTGGTCCTTCGACACTAGAACAAAGAAAGAAAGAAGGTCTGGTACAAGGAGAAAAGGCAAGATTCCTTCACCCAGAGACTGGCCTTCCTCAAAGGGGGAGCCACAGGCAGCCAGCGTGTGCTCACAGTCATGCACCACAACTTCAAATAATAAAGAGAATAATACACGAAAGAAGAAAAACCTTCTGCCAATGTGTGACACTTACCTCTGCTATCTGAAGTCAGGGCCATGGTACTTGTGTGGGCGACAGTGATGACCGGGTGGGGGAGGTGGGGTCATAGACCCTGGTCTGACTGTGCTTCCATGCGTGTGTTCGTTCTGTGACCATTCATCATCTCTACACTTAGGATTATAATAGTTTTTCTGTATACATTTCCTTTCCCCCATTTTTTTTAAAATAAAAAAAAACCCACTTGCCAAAATATAGACCAAAATTGGTTCTTGATTTTAAAAAACTGAAAACTGGGTGAAGGGAGATGTCAGACAGTGCAAGATATGACAAAATAATAATTTATAAATGATCTAGGGTTCATGAGGGAGGGGGGAGCAGGGAGGGAGGGAGAAAATGAGGAGCTGATGCCAGGGGCTTAAGTGGAGAGCAAATCTTTCGAGAATGATGCGGGCAATGACTGTACAAATGTGCTTTACACAATTGATGTATGTATGGATGGTGATAACAGTTGTATGAGCCCCTAATAAAATAATTGGAAAAAAAGCAAATATTTTAAAAAGAAAAGAAAACAAAAAGAATATTGACTAGCTGGGGGTATAAAAAAAATCTTAAATTGTATGGCCTTTTGGTATGGCGTGTTTTAGGCGTCCTTGTGTTTAGGCTTCTTTACACTAGAGACATGCTAACATGTAAAACAGGGCTGAGATTTCCATAAGAACCTGGTAAATGAGTCCGGTAAGGAGAGAGGAAATCCAAGTGGCCCTGAGGTGATGACAGATGAGGTGGGTGCTGAATGCATGATCCAGCACTCTACGATTCCCTTTACTTTTATATGTTTGAAACATTTTCATCGTAAAAGAACACTGGTGGGTTGTTTTTTAAGCAAAATGAATCAATCTGTCCTGAAAAAGCAGGAAGAGTGGCCCCTTTGGTGGGGGGAGCTGGGATAAGGTCGGGGGACTGCTGGTAAGGTTCCAATTGGAATGGTGAGCAGTTCACACGCGATTGCAGTGCTTTCAGATTTTATACGTTACACTTCTAAAATGATTTCATTTACAAAAAAAGCAGCCATTAGATCAATTGCTCCCCAAGACATGGGGCAAGCAGGGCAGGGCATGTGGGCTCGGCCCCTGTGTGGCAGACCATTTTGAGGCAGGATTTCCACTCTGAGGACTGCCTAGCTGGCACACAGATGTGTCAAGTGTGTGCCATTCCTCATCTTTGAAGTAGCTAAATCCCACTGGGGGCTAGGCAAGAACTCCGTGCTTTCCACATCCAGAAGATTCCTTCTTCTAAGACCTCTCAGCCGCCGACCCTCCCCCCACCCCCAACTAGCCCCACTGGAGCCAGTCTCTGCATGTCCCTCTTCCAGTCTGAATGCTCCTTCTACTGGATCCTGGGAACAGGGGCAGGCCAGGGGGCGCTGATTTTTGTGATTGCGTTGTTGTTTGGAGGGTTTTGTTTTGCTTTCCAATCAACCCCTCTGTTTCACTCTTTAGATGAAGACAATGAAGGCCAGAGGGGGGAGGGGACTTGTGTCCAAAGTCACTCAATTAATTCAAGACTGCGCCTGGGCCAGCTAGAGATTTGCAGGTTCGACTTGGCCTTGACATCATAGGGTGCCATGGTATTGACAGTGTTGTTCCTGGTTGCTGTGCATCGCCCCCTCAACACCCCTCCCCTCACTGCTTCCTGCCTGCCTGTCTCCCTCCTTCCCTGTCAGTCAAGGTGCCATCTCTCCCAACTTACCCCACGACCAGGCTGTGGGTGACTGTACATCCCTAATGCGCACTCGGAAACATGGAAGCCCCAGCTGAGGCCGGCCCCACCCGAGGGCACCATGAGCCAGCAAGAAGCCACCCAGCCCCTCCTGGAGGAGCTGGCATAGACCTGTGCGAGGAGAGAAGCCCAATCCCTTCTCCCCACCTCTGAGAACCAAGATCCAAGCCCACTGCCATGGGGGCTTCAAGAGAGCCTGGCAAGACCAGGCAGCTTAGTAACTTGCGACGGTTTCATACCCAGTGGGAACCCATCTTCCCCTCCAACAAGGCAGACATTCCAGAGACAATCTTCCTTACAAAGTCCCAGGGCCGGAAGAGAAGCCAAGGAAACCCCGCTGTAGCCTTTGGAAGTGTGCCTGTGCGCCGGGTTGGGGATGGGGGAGGTGTCTATGAATCCGCAGACCTCAGATAGGAACATTTCTGGCCCCAGCTCCAGTGCCCCAAGACCTCAAGGAGCGCCTGGGGCAGGGAGGGAGGAGAGGAGTAGCAGGATTGGGCTCTCTGGGGCCAGAAACCCTGGGACTGGCCCAAGAAACAGGATGGGGAGCAAGTAAGTTAGAGTTGCCTGGCTTGGTGCCCAGTGCCCAGCGGACACTCACAACCAGTCCGACCAGGTGGAAACACGCTAGTCGGCACTCAACGTTTTAGGCGGCTTCCCTTCCAGGCCGGAGCACCTCTCTAAGTCCACCCCAGGGGCGCGTGGGCCAGGTCCCACGGCTGCGCCCCACTGCCTGCGGGAGATTCGGGAAGAAGCGGAGCAAAGAGCGAGCGAGACCGCTGAGACAGCGCGTAGAGGGGACCCACGACCCGCCTTCCTTCCTCGAGGGAGCTGGTCAAGGCCGTAGCTGCCCAGGGAGCAGGCAGCCTGCGAGAGAAAGAGAGGTGGGCGCGGGGTACTCGGGCGCGGGGCGCAGACTCCCAGAGTCAGCCTGGCTCCAGGGCTGGGACCTGGGGGGTCAGGACTCTGGGATCCCTGGAGGGAGACTCACCTCGCCTGGAGCATGCATATGCCCAGAAGGAGAAGCAGAACTCTAGGCGACATCGCAGCCTCAGCCGGGACCAGGCGCGACCACCCGGGAGGAGGTCGCTGCACTAGGTCTGAGGCTGAGAGGCTCAGGTGGAGGCTTTTAGTCTAACTTTCACTCCTCCCCTCGCCCCAGCCCCGCCCCTAACCCCGCCCCTAACCCCGCCCCTGTCCCGCCCCCCTCACCGCCCCCACAGTCCCCGCCAGCTCTCCAGGGCGCGGGCACAAGCCCGGGCGCGGGCACAGCTCCCCGGCAGCTGACCGCCCAGGGCAGAGTGGTTTTGGCCAGGAGGCTGAGCTGCGGACACCCACAGGCAGCGGAGAAGCAGCAGCGCCTGGCCTCAACCTCTGCTGCCACACCCACCTGTTGCATACCCTTGCTCTCTGCACTAGGGTCCATGGGGAGGCTCAGCACAGTCCTTGGCACAGGGGAGGAAAGGTGATCTCAGCGGGTGACTTCTCAGGGCCAGTCTCCCTGGGACTTGGGAGCAGCAGAGCCTACCCAGACAGTCCCTGGAGACCACTCTCTAGTCTAACTATGGGAGATGCGTCTCCCAACGGGCCAGCCAGCTCAGCCCCAGAGGTCTAGATGTGGCCTAGAGAGGCGTCCTCTTGGGTCAGGCCAAGAAGGAGCAGTGAGAAGGCACAGAGGAGGTGGGGCAGTGCCCCATCTGGGTCGACGTCTCCAGGGTTTCAAGCCGCCTTGGACTTCATATTTCTTGCCCTAGACACTCAGGCTTCCACCTCAGAAGAAAAGATTTGCTTTGCACGCTGCCGGCTGGCACTGTGCAATCGGATTGCTAACACGACAACATGAACAGGGGGTGCCACCGCCTCACCCCCCACCCCCACCCCACAGGGTTCGCCCCATTCAGAACAGTAGCAAAATGGTGAAAACTTCACCAACAAATGCAAACACCCCATTAAGTATGTCCTTAATGTTAGTTATGCGGAACAGTATATTGCTGCACTTTTATAAGAGGAATCAAGCTCTCTAAATATCAGAAGTAAATTTAAAGATCTCTACCAGCCATTAAGAGTATTTACATACCTTAAGAGAAGATTTGAAAATAACTTGTAAAAACACTGTTAAATACTATCCCGCCCGGGAAGTACTGCTGAGTGTCAGAGATCCATTTAGGTACTACACCACCATTGACATATTTGGATCTTGCATGGAAAAGGGGCAAACGTGGATAATTTTTTCCAAATAGATTTCTTCTTGTAAGAAGATTAGGGTGGAATCACTGTTGCCACTGTTAGGTATAATCGAGTCATTTCAGACCCACAGCAACCCTCTGAACAACGCAACAGAACACTGCCTGTCACTGTGCCATCCTCACAATTGTTCCTATGTGTGAGCCCATTGTTCCAGCCAGGTGTCAATCCATCTTACTGAGGGCTTTCCTCTCTTTCAGCCCTAATACAATTGAAAAGTACTTTCCTTAGGGGTGAGGTGTTCTCCCTAGATAAGTTAACGCAGTAGAAAAATCGTGCTTTGCTTTTGTTGTGTTTGGATCCTGCATCTGGTTCATTGGCCTTCAGTTCTTTGGACCTGAGCCAGCAGCCTGCTGTATTTTCTACCAATCCTGGGCTTCACAAGCAGCTTGCCATTTGACCATTGGCTTTGGATTCATCCACCTTGGCAGCCACTAACTTGTGATGTCCCTGCTAATCTTGGATTCATCAACCCCTGAAGAATTTGCCTGGACTTGCCTACTTCTATAACCGTGTGAGCAATTTTCTTGAGGTGTATATATACATATTTTTCACTAATTTTGCTTCACTAGAGACCCCAACCCAAGGCAGGAAATGTCAGAAAACAAAACCGCAAGAGCAAGATGACAAAGTAAAATTGAAATAATGGAAGGCTGAATTGGTGAGCTTTAAGACAAATCTCTCACTTTTCTTAAAATTTCTTTCTAATAAGTTCTCATGATCATCCTGTATACTTTGCGAAAAATCTATCAATATTACCCTTTGGGAATTTACAAAATCAGTTTGCAAGACCTTCTGAGCTGACTTCTCTGCCTTGAATTCAATGGACCCAGTCTATGCCTTCAGAAGCCCTGTTTGGATTGGACCATTTAAAAAAAAGTTTTTTAAGGCACTCTAACTGAAGGCAAATTAAGTGTATTACTGAGGGAATTCGTCTGCAGCCATCCACTGATTGAAGAGACACATTTAAGCGTATTTCCTTTGGAATAAATCTGTACATCTACAATTGGAACACTGTTAGGAATACTTTTGGACTGACTTTTATATATATGAAACACATACATATATATCTTCCATAACCCCTTGGATATGCACGAGTAAGCATAGGGGGAGCGCCACAGATGACCAGTGTTCGGAGCCCTCACTTGCCTTCATCTAGCCGTGCCTTTGTGGATATGGAGCTCCAAGAGAAGAGGTATCAGATTTATCTGGATCCCACTTGAGGAAACTCTGGACCCTTGGAAAACACAGGTCAGAACTATCGTTTTGCAGTTCTTAAGTCTTCCTACAGTGTTCCTCTGTTCAGAGAGAAGAGGGAATTTCTTCAGTAACTACTAACAGAAGGGGAAATTACTCATGCATGAGTGTGTGAAGTCACAAGGAAGAGGTCTCCGGTGGGCTGTGAGGTCCAGGAAGATATACGCAATTAGGAGGTGACTGTACTTGACATGGAGCAGAGGAGCAAGAGTAGGGTCTTCCAGGTATGAATATTTCAGGCAGAGAGCCAGCCAAGGAATTGGAGCTAGAATCTGTGGTACGTGACAGAAACCAGGGAGGGTTTAGCTAGGAGCAGCAGGCCTCGTGTGCCAAGCCAAGAGACTGTATTTCAGTCTGCAGATTATGGGAGAGTTTGACCAGGCACACTGCCTTTCAGAACTGTGCTTCAAGAAGGGGGGTTGGGAAGGAAGGGCCAGCGTCTCCCTCCCCCACAAAGGAGGAGGAGTCCAAGTGCGGGGAAGCACAGAGCCTCTGAGCCACAGGCTGCTGAGAATGGGAAGTGTTGAACACAGGAGGGAACAACATGGAGGATATTTAATGAACAGGGAAAGGTGCTGTGGATGGCTAGAGCTCCAGAGCACACAGGAGCACATCAGGAGGAGGAGCTTGTCGTCATGGGAACATCCCCTTCATTTTACATCTCAGTTTTGAGAATGGTCACAAGGATTATTTGTGGGTGGGTGGGTATGTGGGTGTAAGCACATCCCCAGGTCCTGGCTGTGTGTTCTGTTAGATGTGGCTTTCTAACTTGACATTCAAATTGGATATAAATAAAATAACTAATATGGCACAAATATTTCTAAGTCAATACTAAATATTAATAAATTGTGTATTTTCATAATTAAACTCCACAGAAATAACCCTCTTACCAGTGATGAATTGTCATACTTCATTATCCACATCAAACCACCAAGTGCCCTGCTGTGTATCGTACCCATTTCTAGGGGTAAAAACCATAGTCGCTGGTCATAAAGTCTCTCTTCGCATAACCACATCTTCACCTAAACTCTAATACACAAACATACCATGCTTTTTCCCATTAGTCCAGGAGAAATACACCAGCCCAGACAAGTAGTACAAGACACTGATTTTTCCAAGTACTTGGACGTGCAGCAAGACCAAGCTGTTTGGGCACGACAGGCGGGAAGCTGGAGAAAGACAGCAGGGCTGAGGAAGGGAACAGGGAAAGCAGAGGAAGGCTACACTTGAGAGCACTTAGACTGAAAGGGAAAGCAGAAGCGGCACAGGGTAGTGAGAAGGCCTGGGCGCTCGGTTGCAGGGAGGTCTGGATTTAAATTCCAGTTGCTCACTCAATACTAGTTAAATTACCATGAGAGTGCTACTTAAAGTCCTCTGCGCCCTATGTACGTTGTGTGCAAAATGGAATTAATATGAGCAAAATGGAATTTATAATGCTGCTCACCTCTCATGGTATGGGATGACCCAATAGTAGAGACCATGGAAAGCATTCCATATAGGGCCTGGCATATTCTCAGTACTCAGCAGAAGATACCTACCATTCTCACCAGCATTATAATAACTGACAGGTGGAAGTCAAGGCATACTTGGCGTCTTTGAGGTATTGAATAGCACCTAGGAAGTGTCTGACCAAGCAGCAAGATTCCAGCTCCAAGCATACACTGCAGCATAAGTGTCCCTGTATCAAAAAGGTAGAAATGGTGTGGACAGAAGAGGGTTCTAGACTTTGAGGAATCACAGCCCTGGGTGAGCATCACAAGTTGATAGCACACAGGTCTAGGCCACAAGCTATAGCTTGGGATAGACGTTGAGTGCCACCAGCACCTTAACAGGATTCAAAGTCATGCGAGTGGATAATGCCCATTGAGCTTAACTGTTGGGGAGACATGGGTGAACTCAGTACAAGCTGCTGCAAACCAGCAGTTGGGCAGAGGCCAATTAACAGAGGGTTGAGGAGTACATGCGGATCTTCTCTCTTTCCTGTCTTGTTAAGGACCTTCTGCTTTCTTCATGTATGATGTTCTCGATGCTTTCCCACCGCTCATCAGCTCTTCTGTCATTACTGTTCAATGCGTAAAACCTGTCCTTACAATGTTCTTAAAATTCAGATAGGGTATATTCAAGGTTATATTTTGGCTTTCGTGGACTGGTTTTAATTTTCTTCAGCTTCAACTCAAACTTCCACAATCAGCTCCTGCCCTTATTTTTGACAGCTAGTTTCGAGCTTCTTTTTCTTCCCACAGATATAGTCAATTTGTTTTCTGTGTATTCCATCGAAAGAAATCCACTGTATAGTCATCATTTATGCTATTGGATAAAAGTCAACTGACTAGAAGAGATCCATATTTGTATCCATTTCAAAGAAAGGTGACCTAACAGAATGTGGAAATTATCAAACACTATCATTACTCTCATATGGAAGTAAAATTTTGCTGACGATCATTCAATAATGGTTGTCGCAGTAAATCAACAAGGAGCTGCCAGAAATCCAAGCTGAATTCAGAAGAGGACATGGAACAAAAAATCGCATTGCTGTCAGATGGTTTGGGCTGAAATCAG